TAATATCAAGAGACTAATTAAACTGCTATAATAATGTCTGTCTCATTTAAAATACGATCGGTTTTCATACTCAATCTTCAGTACCTAGAATAACTAATTATATTGGCCTCACGTCATTGTTGAACAAAACATATAGGTATAACAATCTAATAATATTTTTTTTATATTTGACTGTCGGTATTCTGTATTATTGGTCTATGATTTAAAAAAGTATTAATTATCGAAATATAGGTACATACGTTACTATATTGAATCGTAGATACGCGAAGGAACTATAAACGACTGTACTTTCTTTAATTTTCATTTGACTATCCCGGGACAAGATGCCGCGGAGAACCTAGCGGGTTACCGGAGCTCCGGCTCGACGTGTAGGAAAAGGTACAGGGTGGTTTTTAGTCAGTAAGAGTCTGACACTCCCTCCCGCCTCAAATAGGCTGATTTTCCCCCCTTAAAAAAATCCCGGGACAAGATGGCCGATTTCTCTTTGTTTTTACATATAATCACGCCATTTATCTCCGGAGGGGTAGGCAGAGGTGCACATTATGGCACTTAATGCCACTGTACAATGTAACACCCACTTTTCACTATTTATGTTATAAGTTCCATGTAACAGGGGTCACCCCCTGTTACATGGAACATATTGTGCCCGGTATATGGCAATAGGCTCACGCCTATTGCCATATACCGGGCACAATTCCAGACTCCGTGATACAACTGAGAATCTTTAAAAACCCAGTAATACTTTGCCCGACCCGGGAATTAAACCCGAGTCCTTGCCCTTTGTTTTTAATGAAAGGAAAATGAGAAAATAACGACTAAGACGGACCTGTGTGAAACAGGAACGTGTAACGATAGTATAATAATAACTATGCGAATAAAATAACGATAGTTTTGCCCTTGACTTTAATCTATAAGACCTTTTCAAATTGGGAGAATGAATTTCGAGGTCATCAATACATTAGTTGTATTGTATTATTGTAAATTGTCTCATTAGTCCAAAGTTAGGTTTATAGAGGTATATACATAACTTATATTATTTCTTATTCTACACTTGGGAGCAAAGAATCTAAGCCACTAGCGTTGTTTTTTCAAAACCTTCATCTCTATAATCTCTTCTCATTTCAACTAAACTAAACATACGACATACGTGACCAATTAATAAAATACTTGTATCAGAAAAATTGGTCAAAAAATGAAAAAAAAAAGAAAGTTTTGGGGCTTCGTTTCTTATCTTCTAAGTGTGATTACAACCAAAATATTTGATATCAGATCTTTGGACTGAGCTGAGACGATGCTGACATTCCTAGCGCAAGTAGTAAAACTGGGACATAGTCTGGATAGAGTTATTCTCACATTTATTTAATTTAGCTTCTATCATATTCCGCCAAGCACGCTCTTTGAGATTTACAATCAAAATAACTATGAAGTACCTATTTACATAGTCATAGAGGGAAATCATCGAATGATTTCTGTCGCCCGGGTTACTCGAGAGGGAGTGTCAGACTATTACTGATTAAAAACCACCCCGTTCGCAGGATTAGTCCTGCACTTCGACCCGGGCCCCCGGCAACCAGTTAAGTTTTCCGCGGCTCCGTATTGGTATCAACCCTATTGGGCCCCATCTGTGTGTGTCTGGTGACTGGTGTAATGGCTCTTTGAGACGGCATTCCAGTCCCTCGGTCGGTACTATGGCTTCGACTCCGGCTCTAGTTCAGACCATAGTCTGAGTCGTCGTCGCCGATCACATTCCTGAGGATGTCGCAGTGATGACACCCGGGTGTTTCCTCCCGCCCAATCCGAAACAGGGACCTACCGAAACTTCCGTGTCCGGTAAGCACCTGCGTCAGGCAGGACACCGTAGCGTCTCTCAAGCCACTCCTCAAAGATGGAACTAACAGCTGCAATGACAGCGAGCCCAGCCCTCGGTTGCGACAGTCGTAGCTGCCATTCTGCTATTGACAGTAGATATTGCAGTCTTTTTTTTTTAATGGGGGAAAATCATCGAATGACTGCTCCCGCCTGGGTGAGGCGGTAGGGATCGTCAGACTCTTACTGACTAAAAACCACCCCGTTCCTTCTCCTGCACGTCGAGCCGGAGCCCCGGTTACCCGTTAGGTTCTCCGCGACAGATATTGCAGTCTAGTATAAGTAGAATTATGATATTTGAATCTCGAGGAAAACGGTAACTTTACCTTTTAAAAATAGACACAAAAGGAAAATAACTACAAACTGCGCATAATATACTAGATATCTACCTACTTATACTTGTTCAGGATTATTGCTTCGTGTCGGTCTGCCGTCCCACCGGGTTCAGAGAGTGCACTTGTGTTTGCGCACACACTTGTGCACTATTAAATCTCCTGCGTACTGGTCTAGTCTTAGACTGGCCACTATGATCGAAATCGATCGGGAGATTATTATTCTGTACGATGTCTTTCGAAACTTTAAGACTTTAATTTAAAATCCTGGCGTCTAACTTCTTAACTTTTTTTTAAATCTATACGTAATGTTTTATGAACAACTGCTGTTTTTAGTGCATTGTTATCTAAGTCGTTATGTCATGCCGATTATGCTTCATACTAATTGGGTTAGGTTACTTATTGGCCAAGGTCAGGATGCCTAGATTAAGATACTCGAGAGATAAGACAAGAAAACAAATACTCTTCATTTACCTACTTCATACAATTAAAATGTTTAACATAACTAAATAGCGTAGTTACTTTTTTATATTTGATGGGCCGACGTTTGACCACTATCTCGCCAGGTGGTAAACGATGTTGCGGTCTACGATGGGGCACGTCGTCCCATAAGCAACCTATTCAATCGGGCCTTGAAGACATCCAGGTTATACCCTTCAGGAAATACAGAGTCTGGCAAAGAATTCCGCTCCTTAGCAGTACGCACAAGGAAGCTAAACTAGAACTGAGAAACTAATGAATATCCAAACCCATGTGGTCGGTAACACACTTGTACCTCAGGTGGTCTATGGGTGGCGTTGTTCAACATACCATCAGGAGATCTGTCTGCTCCTGTGCTCTCCTTCTCCTTCATAAAAAGTTTAAACTTCAACTTTTTTAATTTTACTAAAACTACTACCACTGGCCTTTTTGAACCGAAATGAAGATACTTTTTTATTTGTTTCTTTGGTCACTACTTATTTGTGATTGCTTGTGTTACAGTGTAAATAATCTCATTTTCTTTCTACTACTAAAACATTCATCTGTACAAGTCTGTCCATAAAAGTAGTACAAATGAAAACAATACAATTATCGTAAAAGTGGGTGGTTTGCTTCGGGGAATCATAGTCAGACAGTCACAGTCATCAAAATTAAAATTGCAGATGTAGTTTTTCCTGCTAAATGCAAATATGTTTATCCCCTGATGGTAACTAGGTGTGCTTTCAAAATTACTGCCCTGATACTGATTATATCTACGGTATTCGTGACATCTCGGCTGTGCAGTCGTGTACTGGTGCCTGTATAGTACCTGCATATCTATTATTATGCAGTATGTGAACATTTTGAAATATCAAAGAACACCACACAGTTATTCAAAGTATTTCAATTTTAAAGTATTGCAATTTGTAAGAAGCATTAAAACGTCGTACATTATTTTTTACAGTGAAGAACTATTTCAATCCTACACATAATTTTAGTAGTGTACCTAATGATCAATTTAAAATATTTAATTTTTTTAACAAAACCGCTATCTGTGTTTGTAGTAAGGACAGTTTGCGATCGATGGAGAATCGAAATTTAATTCAAGTTTGGTATTTATATCTCGATTCTTTTATCACAGGTAAAACGAGACATGGACAAATTAATTCTAACTAAATTGAGGAAAATGTTTTGCAAACCGCCATTTGGTCTTTGTAGGTAGATAGAATAGTTATGTATATATGTATGTGTGAATGTATGTATGTAAAATATGAAGGTAGTATCTAATGTAGGTACCCTCATATTCAGTCAGTAGCTGTTAAAGAAAATCTGTTTTATTTACGAAGATATTTTTCTATAAACATACAAGTGTTTGCACTATCTATGTGTACATCATGAAACTTTGATATTTAAGGCTGAAACTCTTTACTATAGGTACGTATTTCGGTTCCGAGTCTGGGAAAACTGCGTGAGGAAAATTTATGTTATGATTTTATTCCGCGGGCAGCGCTGATTGCTTACCAATTAAGTAGTGATCCGTCTCCTCGTTTGCCCCCATCCTATTTATGAGAATACACCACGATGCTCTAAGTATAAAATAAATACCTAATAGGGTGTTGGTTTACTTTGATAACTAATTTCTCCCTGGGATAAAATCCTCTCCCATGTGTTATTCTTATTTCAGACTGATCCGTACACCGATGACTGATTTGTACATTCAGATCTATTCACTAAATTTAGCTTGAAATGACAAAAACAACATACATAAATACCCCCAGAACTTTCACATATTTTATAATATTTATAATAAGTGCTCCTTACCAGTCTCCCCAATTTCCGAATGCCCCCACAAACCTCAAATTCATTAC